AATTAAAGTGTGTGTGAGACTTTACAAATTCCAAAACTTGAGGGCGAGTTTTGAACTATTCAAAAACTTTTGGATTTTCATATTTTATGAGTTTAATATGGTTTTTTATGAAAAACTTTTCAAGTTCCATAACCTGATGACAAGTTATGGAAGACATAAAAAACATTTTATGATGACATTAAAATTAGAGACTCTTCCATTTTCATAACCTATGACTTTTAATGACACTTTAAAAAAAACTCTTCATTTTCCATAACTTGAGTATAAATTATGGAGTTCATAAAAACCATTATGATCAAATTACCAACTAACACAATAATCAAGTAATTTTTCTATGAACACGATCAAACTTAGCTAATCACATAAACTAAAACAAGTCTTGAAACTTTGACATTTATCATTTATTTGGATGAGAATAAACATTACCATAACATCAAAATCAAGTTTTATGAACAAAAACACTTTGTGGTAATGATTCTAATCCAAAACAGGCTAAAAACTATTTTTTTTTCACTAAACAGTCATCACCTCGTGGTAAACTGGCAGATTCCAAAAAAACGATTTTTCTTGCAACTAGCATCAAGTATAATTGAAAACAAGCCTAGGCTCTGATACCACTGATGGGTTTTGAGCATTCTAACACTCCTATAGTGTACATACAACCCTATAAACCTTGGATCTATGTTTTCTCTATTGTACATGCAAATATTTGATATTCCAAGGTTTAATCTTAACTAGCATAATATTAAGCAACTATACTACAAAAGGTTAGTTAGATGACATACCTTTGTTGAAGCTTGAAGTCTTGAACTTTAAGAGCTTAGCCCCAATAGTGTGGAAGCCTCAAGTGGAATCACAAAACACCAAAAACACAATGGAAAGCTTGAGAGAATAGTAAGCACATTAGAAATTGGCTCACTCATGTTTTTCTCACACTAGTGTCATTTTATGTGCCAAAGACCTCTTTATATAGTATGGAGGATTAGGTTTTCATCCATGTAAACCCTAATACCCATGACCTTTCATTTCCATAGGATCCATAGGTTAAAAACTCCATGGACTATCCATGCAAGCTTAGCCCAACCTAAATGAACTTGGCCCATACTATATATAAGAGTCCATATTTAATTAGTTCCTTTTGATCACAAATTTATTTCTAAATTAATTCTTGGTCAATACTAATTAAATTATATGATTCCATATTAATATATTAGAACTTATAATATATTTCGATAAATCATAAACATAATATTCTCAAAAGAATATCCATATAAATTGTTCCGGTAAAGTGCAACCCAAATGGACCATGCCAAATCGGGTCAAGTACATACCAATTATAGTTATGGACTTAGGCACTAATCCAACATGGAAAAGAAACTTGTCTTTTATAAATTTGTTTTTTATTTGTCTTTTATTCTGAAAGTGACGAAAAGACCAAATTTCCTAACTGATTTCCTAAAAAGGTAATAATAATTAACAAAAAATATGTTTTATCAATATAACGAATCAAGAATACATAACACATCAACATATGGTCAATAGGTTTTTCAGATGGAAAAAGAAAACTCTCCAAAATTCCACAAAGAGTTTTTTTTTTTTTAATGGGTTCACAAATGGATGTTTATACTTACACCACATGCATAGTCAAATGTGTTAGGTTTATGGTACTTAGTCGTGATGCACAACACAAAAAGCAAAACTCTAGGGTTCTAGTGGTGGGTGAGAATGGAGAGAAATACTATGGCCAGTTAGAAGAAATTATGGAGGTGCAATATCCATATGATTATTCGACTGTAATATTTCGGTGCAAGTGGTTTGATACAGGAGATATTCCTGATGATAATTTCATCAGTATCAACACAGAAAAAGAAGTGTACCAAGATGATCAAATCATATATGGTTTGCAAGCTAAACAAGTGTTGTACATTCGCAAGCCTGTTAATCATCGAAGAAACCAAAATAACAACGCTCTTTGTGTCGTCGAGCATGTTAATCATCGAAGTATTTGGGATCTATCATCCGACAATGCTTGTTCCAAAATGCTTACAGTGCCTCTGCCCAAAATGTCAACAATGTGGAGGCCGAAAATGTTCATGTAGTTCAAAACAACTCTTCATCTGGAGCTAGACTTTTTATCGACTTTTCACAATACTTTCAAAACGATGTTGATTATGATGATAAGGATGATACTGAAGTACCTTTGCCAACTGGTAGAGTCGATAATGTTTCTAAGGAAGAAACTGATTATGATGATGACGATTCTGATTATGAGACTAATGAAGAAGACATTGAAGTATATGATGCAGATTCTGATTAAAAAAATCAAATGTTTTTTTTTTGTAATAGAAACATTATTTGAAGGCTAACTTTTATTATTATTTTTATAACTTTTATTTATGTTGTTTGTCTATATTGTATATCTTATAATTTTGCAGGGTAACTAACTTTTATTCATATTTTATTTCCATATTGTATATCTTGTAATTTAAGGGCTACAAATGAGCTTTACTTGGGTGATACTCTTTTTCATGATGGCCTATGTTATGGGCCTTGGACATGGAGGTGATGGAGTCGGGGATCCACCACCTCTAGTAGGCTTTGGTCGCGATCAGCACGAACAGGATTGTAAGTTTTACTATGATATATTTATTAGCTATTTTTATTAATTTATTATAAGTTATCGTGACTAATATTTTTAATTGTATTTTTTCAGCCGAGCGTCCAAAAAAAGAAGGGGCTTATCAAAAAACATCGAGTTAGGAAAGTGGCTACGGGCAAACAAGGGAAACTCATGGATTTGGATTTCGAAAGGGAGATCACATGTTCCCATGTCGGGAAGCTTGCTAATTGGTTTACACATGAAATTGGGAGGTATTTGTGGAACAACATCCCTTTCAGCGTATATGGTTGAGACAATGTTTTCCCCGCTTTAAGGAATGCAACAGTCGTGCATCTAAAGTTAACTTGGATAATATTTTAAGTTTAGTTGTGATTGTTATTTAATTAACTAACTTTTCTGTATTTGTAGAATAAGTTTGATTTGGATAAGGTTAACTTGGATCCAGAGCATGCACAATTGTTGTAGAGCATTGATTTGAGTCTTGCAAAAGTTTATAGAGGCCGAAAAAGTAAAGCTCATTCTTATTTTTAGGAAAACGGAGGGTCTTCAGATATCCCAATGGCATTAAACAACCCCCCCAAGGGTATGTCACTTGAAAATTGGGCGAAGGCAATCGAACATTTCAAACGCCCAAATTTTTAAGGCATTCGGCATCAAATAAAGAAGTATGTGCAAAACAACAAGTTGTAAACAAAGGGGGTCGAGCTCATACAGCAATGCATGTTTCAAATAAGTAAGTTATGATATATTTAACTATTTATTTAAAGTATAATTAATCTAATTTTTAATATTAAATAGGATATCACTCGAATCGAAACATTTCGTAAGGCTAATTCCAATCACCAATGGGTATTTTATAGTCTTGCAGTCATGCAACAATACGTAAGTGGTTAATTTGTATTTTCATATAAGTGTTTATATCGCCAAGGGTATTTAGTAATTTAATTTTATGATGTTTATCATTTTTTGAAAATACAGAATGCTTTACTATAGGAGATCAATCAACAAATCCAAACTTCTTCTGCAGCAAGCAGTCTAACACCAAGTGATATAAGAAAATGTTTTGAAAGAATATTGGGTGTTCGACACGGACATAACAAAGGCATTGGGCATAAACCTCATACCGTTGTGTCTATGTACGACCAGGAACAATCGATGATACAAGAACTACCACAATCAAAGGTAATTGTTTGTTTAAGTTGAAAAGTATAATGCTATAATGGAAAAACGAAAAAAAGTAGGATGCTATAATTATATGTTGGTAATTATATGTTTAGTATATAGTACAATGCTATAATGGAAAATAGAATGCTATAATCATATGTTGGTTATGGTTTGATATGTTGACATTTTGTAGTTTGGTAATTTTTGGAAAGTACAATGCTATAATGGAAAAATGAAAAAAAGTACAATGTTATAATGCATATGTAATATTGTGTATCATGTAGTTTGGTTATAGTTTGATATGTTGGTATTTTATAGTTTGGTAATTTTTTGGAAAGTATACTGTTGTAATGGAAAGTAGAATGTTATAATGATATGTTATGTATAATGTATGTTTAAGTGTCTTTGGAAAGTAGAATGCTATAATGATATGTTGGTTATAGGTAGATATGTTGGTATTTTTTTTGGTAATTTTCAGAAAGTACATTGCTATTATGATTTGTTGGTAATATATTTTGTTTTCTTTGTAATTGGAAATGCTTCAGATGATACAAAATGACCCGACCTGTTCTACGGCATTGAAAGAGTGGTTTCGCTCATTGCCACCACTAAATAATAATGAAGAAAATGATCAGATTGATGAGGACAACTAGCTACTATTTTAGGATTTTATGAAATGTTTTGTTTGGAAGAATACTTTGGATACATTGCACTTTGTATGGATTAATATTTTGGATTGGTTGTGTATAGATTAATTAATATTTTGGCTTGGTTGTGTATGCATTAATATATTAGGTTAATATTCCTGTAAGATTGTAGCAGCTTTTATATATATTATATTGTTTTTTATAATGTTAATGTTAAATAAACAAAAAAATAAAAATTATTTTAGCGTCGACACAAACCTATTGGCGGCAACGTTGTATTTGCGGCGACAAGTGGCTATTAGCAGCGACACGCAATTATTAGCGGAGACTAATACGGAATTTGCAACGAAGCATTAGCGGCAACTTTTTGTAGCGAATGTCGCCGCTAATACTTAGTGGGAAATCTCCCGTATACATATTAATTATGGTAAGGAACACAGTGATACTATAAAAATTAAATAAAATAATCAGAAATAAACAATTTTTTACGTCAACTAGTTTCCAAAAAACGAGTTTCTTTAGATCGAATGTCTTTTTTCAAGACCAGCAAAGGAGTAGCGAATCCACCTTTAGTTGAAGGAGATATCCAAACCATGGAACTTTTCTCTGGTAATTCGATCTAAATTCTGGCTCATTTCATTGGTGAGATGGTTGGTCCAATCTCCAACTTCCCCTTTCCTGAAAAAAGCATCATTAGGTATACCCTCACGTAGATTTCCATGCTTATTAACCTCGCTTAAATTTTCGAAACTGCATAGTCTGATAATCTCTTGGACTGCACCTTCAGTCTCTTCTTTCTCTGTGAATGGGTAGCCCAAGAACTTCGCAACTCGCTTGACATGATTTATAGTATCCGTTTTCATATCCTCGTACGTTAAAAATAGAACCTTTCCCGGGTGTTCTGAACTAACCTTGTGGTACCCTTTTACATGGTCCCAGTAAGGTCCTATTGGCATGACCCCATTACTAAACGAATCGAACGCCTCCTCAAATGTCAGTAGACTGCCCGATTTGTCTCTCAACTTGTTTGCAAAGTGAAACATAGAGACCAAAACATCTTTAGGGTTTCTACATAAATAAATTAGTCGACAATTCGACTGAAGAATGGATTGAGGCAATGAAATGTAGGGTATATGGGTAGCAAACAGTCGTGGTGAATGTGGTTTGGCATATGTAGGTGTGTGTCTATATACTTCAGTCTCAATGAAAGGCAAACAGTTGTGAGGGTTGGAGATGAGTAGAGGGTGAGTTGAAAGAGAGTTGTTTTTGTAGCGATTTCTGTTAACGATAGCAAACACGAGCGCCTTGAGCCATGTCGTGCCAGATTTTGGCAGTGTGGCCAAGTATATATCTGTTGGGTGAGCTTTGAAAGTGTCTTGTAAGGCCATCACAGTTTCTATTGAGATTATACGCATCGACTGGTGCCAAAAGCCTTGGTACATGTATAGGTTTCCTGTTATCCAACCTCTCTCCTTGGGAAGCATTTGAAGCCTACCCTTGTATTTATCAAAAGTGAGGGCCATATTGGCTCTTTCTTTTTGAGCTTCGTGACTGCATTTAGGTACAGATGAAAGAGAGAAAGCTTGAGAAGCTATAGACATTGACATTATGACATATGAAGGTTATTTCTATTCAATGAAATGAAACGAGTTTTTTTCTTTTATTTATAGATCCAATTCGTTTTCGTGTTTACTTTTCTAAATTTAATATTGGTCATGAATGGATATATAATACATCGCATTTAAAGAACCAAGAAATCTTAGGTGAAAATATTCATGTGATCAGATTCCATGAAGCTTGTTTTGCACGATTGAAACTTGTGTTGCGTGATTCTGTAACGATGTGATATGATTACATTGCATGAACCAAGAATTCTTAATATTGGTCAAAAAAAGCAATTAATGAACAAGTCTGTACTACATATATAATATTCAAAAAAGTATAATAATAATCATTTAATTATCTGGTACGTTTTGAAACTAGTTTTTTAACTTTAACTTGAAAAAACGCTAAACCCTATACCAAAAATGTAAAACTCCTCTTTCTTGAACCTATACCACGGTTTTACCCATCCTCTTTCTTGCCCTTTATTACTCAGCCATTCGGTATGGAGGCTATTTTATAATTATGAATCCTATGTAGAGGGGATTTTTACTAGTGAATATCACCCAAAGCATAATAATTTTGTGGTAGAGTAAGGGTGGTCACGGATGCTAGTCTTTGTGCCCCATGGTTGTCGCCCATTTTGCAAAATCGATATGAGGAGAAATCTCATGGCTTCCCCCGCCACCTTCATCACTTGTGTTCATCTTTCTCCCCTCATTTCCATCTAAAATCCAAACCACCTTCATCACCATTATCTGTTGAATCAAAACCCCAAAACATTGAGAGTTTGTCTTGAACACTTCAAAACTGAAACACATGGCTCTGGACCCACTCATGCCCTCTTTTCACTTTGCTTCCCCTTCCACTACCGTAGATAGCTTTCACAACTCGATGCTACGGCACCATCTCCGACGATACATTGATCACACATTGCTTTCTCCGGTAAGCCCACCTGTAATTCCATCGACATTAAAATCAAAAAAGGGATAACAAATCAAGAACAAACCCAAAAAAATAAATAAATAATCAAGAACAAACCTAAAAAAAACTAAAGATAAAACTCCACATAACTTCACACTAACCATATATCAAGCTAATATAATCAAATTTATTGAAACCTAAATAAAACGTAGAAATCGAGGTTCAAATTAAACACTTAATTTTCTATGAACCTAAACACGCGTAACAACCTATAAATCAAACACATGTCTAAACCATTAACCAAATCCAGAGAATCAATTATATTGAACGAGGGAGATGGATATGAGATCTCGTGAAGGTTAGGGACGTATGATTTTCATGAAATGTAATCTATTTCCATATTTGGTGAAGTGCTATTAAGATCCAAATTTGGTGAAAACTCGAGAGCTGTTTGGTAGGATCCGAAATTTTAAAAAGTCTGAATTTTTAAGATATGAATTTTTAACTTTTATGTGGTTGGAACCTCTAAAATGTTGAATAATAAAAATGACTATTTTACCCTTTTATATTTTTTTTTTGTTGAATTCAATGTTTCTATTTATAAAATATCTATATATTCGACAAGTTCTTATTTCAGGATTTTAGACAATAAATTGATCAAATGGAGACCTTGAGCTTCAATGGAATGAAGTTGAGACTCCATTAGAGGTGTATGAGGTTGGATAAGTGATTTAAACCTTGGATTGTTCAATGGAAGCTGAGGGGTAAAATGGAAAAGGTTATGTTTCGAGCTTCTTGCATAAATTAAGGATTTTAGTTTAAGATGTTTTTAGTCATAAGTATCTAGATAGAATTATAGAGCTTTTCGATGCCTTTTCATGAATATAAAGATCCTCAAAAACAGAGTTGAAACGAATAAGTTATGGTTGTTTGAAGTTAAGACGGAAAAGGGAGTCTGACAGTACGCTGGGCGTACACTAAGTAGTACACTGGACGTATTGGTTGAAGGGGGATGCGCTTTTAGAGGGTTACGCTGGGCATAACTTATGGTAAGATAGGCGTGTTGCCGCAGTGTTAAAACCCTAATTTTGTGGTTTTGAGCCCTATTTAAAGACTCTAACGCCTTGAGGTCCTTCCTAACATCAGCCTTCACCCTCTTAAGCCTCCAACTCGAAACCCTATCCCCCCTAGAGAAAATCTTGAGCCTTTTTATGTGTTTTGGGTGCATTTTGGAAGAAAGGGAAATCCAAGTGTGTTGATTGTTGGAGCTCAAGCTGATCCAAAACCTACATTACTTTTCTCAACTTCAGAAGGTATAAAGCTTAGACCTTGTTGAATACTTCGTTAGCTCTTGCTAGTTATTGAGTTTTGTGCCTTTTGGTCCCATAATCTTTGTATATATGAGTTTGCCTTACTCTAGACCAAATGAGTTGTCCTTTTAGACATTTTGGGTGCTTTGAGTCATAAAAATGTCATCTTGGTTCTTTCCTTTCACCCATGGAAGAGATATGAAGCTTGGAGTTGTGTAATCAGTTAGGATTTTAGTTTTGGACACTTTCTAGCCATGAAAAGTTATAAAGTTGGAAACTTTATGATTTAGAATGTTATTTGGATTCAGATCTAAGCTTTGGAAGAAAGATCTTAAGAGAATAAGTTCTTAATAGGAAATTGGATCAGCCTTGTATACGTTGGGTGTACCTAAGTGGTACGCAATGTGTACAATGCTAAAGTCACATACATCATGCATACAGATGGACTACACAGGATATACTCAGCATAATGTGGGCCTTGACTATCTTTGACTTTGACCTTTGACTAGGGTTTTGACAAAGTTTGACCTAAGGGTATTTTGGGTCATTTGAATAGTAGTTTGAATTTTGGGTCCTGGTTAATTGTATAGGTGATCTGTAGAGGCAACATTTGGAGCAGTGATTTGTTCAGCTATCTTTTAGACTATGAGGTGAGTTCTCATCACTGTACTTATGGGTTGAAGGCACCAATAACGACCCATTATATTATGTATCCTGGTATATTGGATTGATGTTGTGTTGGTTATATGATAAACTGGTAGATATATATATATATATATATATATATATATATATATATATATATATATATATATATATATGATTACATGCGTTCACTGATTTTGTGTTAGACTGGTAGATCTATATGATTACCTGTGTTCACTGATTATGTGTTCGACTGGTAGATCTGTATAATTACATGTATTTTCTAGTTATTGATTATTATTGTATATGTCGACATGTTATGGTTTGTTGGGTTGAGGCGGTCTTTCTTTGTATTGAACGCCAAGATACCTGGGGCGATCTGGATAGACTAAAGACATGCAAGGCGGTCCAGTCAGGTCGAAGGCCTGGAGAGCGATCCAGATAGCTTGTAGGCCCTGCGAGCGGTCCAATCAGGCTGAAGACTCATATATGCATGTTGTTATCTGGTTGGTTTTGTGTGGTACTTTAAGGAAACTCACTAAGCTTTGGCTTACATTTTGATTGTTATTGTTTCAGGTATTTCAGAGGGCAGGGGCAAGGAAAAGGCTTGACTGTGTACATCATCCTGGATTTTATGTAATTTATGATTTTGGGATACTGCAATTCATGATAGTGACTTTTGAGAACTTGTTTTATAAAACTTATGGATTTTTGGAATAGTTTAAAAAATGAAAATTTTGCCTTGTTTTGGGATGTTGCAAGTTTGTACCATAGCCCTGATTTGAGTGAATTGGATAAGTGATGTGTGTAATACTCACTTAGTTTTAAACCTACTTTAATTATCAAATAACACACAAAAGGCAGTGAACCTATCAATTGTGGTATAGCTAAATAAGCAGGGTATCGAACACAGGGAATGACAAATTAAATTAAAAACTAATTCTATCTAGGTTAATTAAGAAATAGGGGTTTTTCTCTAGTTTTACAAGACTAGAAACATGCTACTATTACTAATTTAAGACTAGAAAATAACGACTTAACTAGATTCAATAATTGGAAAGGAACTTCTGTTTAGTTCAACTTGGTTAACTTTATGGTTGATTTCAAGGTAATAGTGCAATGGATTAATTCTTTCGTTGGTTACCGATTCAAGTGATTAGGTTCATGTTCACTACCCTAATCCTTAGCAAATAAACTAACTCAAACAGTGGCCAATTGTTTAATTTAATTATATTTACTAGATTAATTATTCGGGTTAAGTTAGACTTGCAATAGCTAATTAATTTATTATTTTTAATTAACCTCTTGTTTGATGGTCATCTTACAAGCTTGCACATGAATTTACTCAATTTTCTTATTAATTCTAGTTTCATATTCATTAATCCTAGACATATAGTATAGTGGTCACATATCATATGAGGTTGATAATCAATAGATGTTCATGCTAATCAATTATCTTCCTATTAACAGAAAATTAATTATTATTCACACACAAGGTTCTTTAGCAAGCTAAAATAACAAAAATTCACCAACTTGGAATTAATCCTACCAATCAATCAAACCATATTGTCAACTTTGTATCCCCAAACAGAAGTCTAAAGGTTTTAGTTCATAATTAAAGTAAATAACAGCAAACAAACAAAGTCAAGTTGCTTAATCATATTGATAAAACAAAAGAATAAGTGGAATGATGAAATTGTGCCTTAATTACTCCCCGGAATTGAATTCTAGCTTTCTTTGTCGACTTCTAGGGTTTTTCTGGCTTCTCAATCGCAGCAAAACACTTCTGAATCGTCCCAGAACTCCCTCTAATCGATCTGTGGAGTTATATTTAAATAAGCGAATCAACTCGTCGAGTCCCTCTCACATTCCCCGTATTGCGATAACTATCTGGAATCCCGAGTCATTATCTTTTTGATTCTTCGACCGGACTCGTCGAGTAGGCTATTTGACTCGACGAGTAGGTGCCATTTTTAGTGTTTTTCTTCTTCATTCCATTCTCGAGCTCCTAACCGCTTCTCCTGCTTCCTTTTGCTTCCGAGCTTCATCTTTGGACTGAAAAACATAATTTAACACTTTTAAGTACCTTTTGTCCATAATATGCGATAATTTAATTAATA